CTCTCTCTGCTCCTTTTGGGACTCTAATTAGAGTATGTTAGATATTTTAACTGTATCTTATATGTCTCTGATGCTCTGTTCTGTTTTTTCCATTCTTTTATTTCTCTGTGCTTCAAGTCGTATATTTTCTCTTGACCTGCCTTCAAGTTTAATAATCCTGTTTTCTGCTATTTCTACTCTGCTCATCTATCTAATGAGTTCTTAATTTCAGATACCACATTTTTTAGTTTTGAATGACCTTTTGATTGTCTTGTATAGATTCTACTTCTTGCTGACATTCTCTGTTCTTTCATCTGTTTTGTCCATCTTTTTCTATATTTACCTGACAATATTAATTGTAATTATTTTAAAGTCCCTGTCTGATAATTCTAGTATCTGAGTCACCTGTGGGTCTCTTTCTTTTCTTTTCTCTTCTTTCTCTTTCTTTCTTTCATTTCTTCCTGTTTTTAGCATGTCTTGTAAGTTTTTATTACATGCTAAGTATTAGAATAAAAAAATTGATGAGGCTGTGGATGATATCTTCTTTCAAAGAGGGTTGGTGATTTTTTTTGACAGGCAAATAGAGTATAAGCAAGTCACTTTGATCTTGTTGAAGCTCACTTTTAGTTTTTTAAGGTCTTGTCTATTTGAGTTTTTCTTACACTCTTAGGGCATCATTCTTATTTCCTCTTTGTGGCCCTTCTGTAGTCTTAACAGAAAGTGCTGGGTATTTACCAAGGTGGTCTCTCCTTAGGAAAGAGTTAAATTCTAGCTTCTGTTCCCAGCAATGTGTGGTTGCTGAAATTTTTGCTCAGGTATCTAGCTTCCCAACTGCTCTTTTCTGCTGGGTTTCCTGGAATCTTGCCCTGTGAAATGTAGCCAACTACTTGAAGGGAGTTTGTACACAGGTTTTTGTGCACCTTTTCACTGATTCCCTTCTCTGTGATTTTGCCCTGAAAAGTTCCCATCACTCTGGGAGCTCTGAACTTCAACATGTCTCCTCAGTCTGTTAAGACTGAGATTTCTCCTTGGACTCTGTTCTCCCACGTGGCAATTTGGGAAATAAACTCAGGGAAAAAGGTGGTATGAATGAGGAGCTCACTTTGTGTGCGTCTCTTCTTTCAACGATTGAGGCCCCTTAAGTCCTGCCTGCATTGATTGATCTGGAGTACCTTTGGAAAGTTATTTTATAAAAATATATTCCAGCTTTTAAAGTTATTTTCTGTGCCAGGTTTAGTCTTTTACAAGTCACAGTGTCATGGACAGATATGGAAGTCCCTACAGTGTATTCTGAACACAGCAGCCAAAATGATCCTGTTAAATATATTAGATTATGACTCTCCTCTGTTCGAACCCCCCAGTAGTTCCCTATTTCATTCAGAGTAAGCACCAATGCCTTTAGAATTATTTAACCTTCTTACATTGTCACTATCACCCGGAGTGTGACCTCACCTCTTTGCAAATATCTGCATGGCTAACTGCATATCTTTGAGCTGCATCTTTGTTCGGACATCTCTTTCTTAGCTTACTATAACCACCCTATTTAAAATTGCCTCCTCTGTTCTCATTTGCATTCTCTCTCTACTTTCCCCTCATATCACCTCATGACTTATAATTTACTTATTTATTATGTTTATTGTTTCTTTTACTTATTAGAATGGGATCTCTGCAAGGGCAAGGGCTTTTTGTCCTTCTGTTCATTGGTGTGTGACAAATGAAAATGGAGAACCAGATGAGAATAGAGTTACAGAATCTAAGGGAGGAGGGAATTTCAAGATGGAAGAGTAATGGTCAGTTGTTTCAAATGTGGAGGAATAGTTTAAAAGTATGCACTATATTTTACACTGGATTTTTAAATTAGGAGGCTATTTGTTTGTTATGCTGTGTGAGAGAAGTTTTAATGAGGAGTAAGAGAGAAAAGAACATTTCCAGGGGTTGATGAAGTGGCTATAGAAAATTACAGACTTTTCCCTTTTTAATCTTGTGAACAGTATAGGAGGAAATGTTCATATTTACTTGGATAATATATGTTTCCTTCTTTTAGAGAGTTAATAGATGGGTGAGTAGGTGGTTAAAGACACTAGCAATAGTAGCTGGAGTTTTAAAATTTTTACTCATTCTTCGATTTATTAAGTGAATGCTTCGTGCCAAAACCTATACAAGGTTCTGACCATCCAAGGAAAGTATAGGCCCTAACTGAACTGAAAGCATTACTAAACCTTAACGTTGTGCACAAAAGTTTATCTTGAAGGCCAGTCCATTTTGCTATGTAGCACTAGAAAAAAGTAAATTAGGATTCTGGTTCCCGTCTTTTTCTTGCATATACACTTGTGCTTGCAGCATACCACTTGGAGTTGTAGCTTAAAGTCTAAAGAGGTGTTCATATTTTAGAATTTTTTGGCAGAGCTTTGAAAAGGTCCAACCCTCCCCTCCCCAAAGATTTTGATACATCCTTTTTGGGGATGTACCTCTGATTGGAAATTGTTATTCTTCACTGCTTTTCCCAATTCATCATTCCTGGATTTAGGTTTCAGGTGTTGCTTTCTATGGTACACAAATTTTGGTGGGCATTTTGAGGAAAAAGAAGGATACTGTGTAGTGTAGTGCAGTGTTCTCAAACTGGTGAAGGAGATTTTTTTTTCTTTTACATTTCCAGTTCATTATGGATGAATACTTATATAAGATACAGTAAAAAAAAAAAAAATCACTAGAAAAATGAGATGAAAAAAGTATACAAAATACAAACCCCAGTATTTAATTAATTCAGTAAACAATGTCAAATTGCTCTGTCAAGTTTCTAAATGTGCTTACTCTGAATTTCTGTATGTATCTCCTCATGGGTTAGTAACAAAAGTTTGTGAATTGGTAATGATTCTTGGACCAGACTTCCTCGAATCACACCTTGAGTAGCACTGATATATAGTGTACATAGTCTTAATTTTTCTCTTAATTTATGTTGCTTTTAAAAGGAATAGAGGTTTTAATGAATAATGGATAATAGTTTTATAAAAAGAGGTAATTTATACTATGTAAAAGTTGTAACATCTCCTAAGTTCTTATATGTAACTTGTGAAATTCTGCTTTTTGATTTTAGTTACTAGTTTATTCTGGTGCTGAAATGAGTGACTTTCCTAGTAATAGCAAGATTTGTTTTAACCTTCCAGTTATATATTCTCTGTTCCTTGAAATTTAAAACAGGCATATTTTTAACATTAATGGAAAAGTTATACCATTTAACACCACAAGATGTCACTTATGTAAAAATAAAGTTGGTGTCCTAATACTCAAAGCTAGAGAGCCACAGGTAACTAGGTAAATGAAGAATTAGGTAAATTACAAACACAAAAAAATTTGAAACAATGTTGGTTTTCAGCAAAGAGTCAAGGAAAATATTACTAATTTAGCATTATTTTGACTGAACTATTTTGATGTTTAGCAAAAAGATTTTCTTAAGATTTAGGTAGTAATACGTATTAATGGGTCAGTATTTGAATCCACATAATGGAGGAGGTAGACCTAAAGTGACTCAATGGAAGTGAATATATTTTGAGGGTAAACTAGGTGTTTTGGTATTAACTTTCCTAAATCTTTACTGTTTGGGTGATAAGCAAAGAGGAATTTGGAAAGAAATGTGTAATTTATGGCAGAATTTTCAATAGGTCTTTCTCACATACATGTGAAAAGTTGAATATTACATCAATTTGAAGCAGTACCTAGGATTTTTCTTGCCTCTTTTCTCTGAACCTCAAAGTTCTTAGCTCTCTGCCCATGTTAACACAGAATATATTTGTATTTATTGTTGAAGACTAGCTTTTCTGTTAAACACAAAGAGTGAAACCTTTGACTTTAATATCAGGATCCTGTTTTCTTGTTTTTAGTTTGAGGGAGCAGGTCAGGACCTCAAGGTGGTTGGGAAAGGAACTCTGGCAACTTGGGCTTAAGATGAATGAACTGAGTTTCCATTAGGCCATAAATAAGATTTCTCTGGGTTAAGGTTGGGGTGTCCTAAAAGTTGACACTTCATTCCTCTTCGTTGCACACTTTGCCAGATAACACTGGTGGAGGAGAATGGTGGAACACTCTTGGGGAGAAGAAAAGGGAAATTAGCAGAAGAAAATTATTTTCCTCCCTTTTTGGCTTGTATGTACGTGATCACATTTCTTTATTTAGTTCCTATCTAATTACTCCCGCTTTTTTTCTTTCTTATCCCCAGTAAGATTTTTAAGGTTCTTTTAGATTTAGGTTTTTTGTTTATGAAAGTAAACATAGTCATTAAGAAGAATAGGAAAATAGCAAAAAAGTAGAAGAAAAAAAATAAAGTCACTTATGTGGTTCTGTTAATTTTTCTCTTTTTTCTGTTACCTGTGCAGTGTGAAAGGGCTTGAGAAATTTTAAGAAGGGATTCTAAATTCATTATGGTAAACATTTATAGTATATTTCATAATTGTATATCCTCAGAGACAGTTTGTATATATTGCTGTCTCTACGATTTATTTATTTTCTAGCTGTATTTTTAATTAGAGAAAGGTCATTGTTTTAATTATTTAATTACTTTTTGTCTTTCATTAGTGGTCTCCAATGCATTTAATTTTATGAGCTGTTTGGAAAGTAAGAGTAATTTTTTTCTATAATAAATTTTATTGCCTCTGTTCTTTTTGAAAAAAATTTGCTTAGCTTTTTTTTTTTTTTTTTTTTTTACTGCAATGACAGTTTGTAACATTTCACTCCTGTAGTAGTTTGGTAGGGTTGCCATAACAAAATGCCACAGACTTGATGGTTTAATCAATAGAAATTTATTTTCTCACAATTCTATACACTAGAAGTCCAAGTTCAAGGTGTTGGTAGGTTTGTTTTTTTCTGAGGCCTGTCTCCCTGGCTTGCAGATGGCCACCTTCTTGCTGCAGTTACTTAACATTGCCCACAGTGCTATTTCTAATTCTTATGAAAATGATATCTTTTAAGTGGTTTAATGTAAAAATCCCAGTATGGAATTTTTTTTTCTTCTCTTTTATTATAGGAATGAAGACCTAAAACAGATGTTGGAGAGCAACAAAGATTCTGCTAAATTGGATGCTATGAAACGGATTGTTGGGGTAGGTAAAATACTAGATTATGTTGATTTTTGGAAAGTGGACAAGTACTGATATATTACATTAAATATATATTAAATATCAAATCTAACATCTCATTTGCCCATTAATATTAAGTAACTTAGAATTTCCTGCCTAAAAATGTTAAGGAAGGAAGTATTAAAGTGTCAAAAGTCAAGAAACTTGGGTTCTAATTTCATCTTTTTTCTGCTTCAATTTTCTTATCTCTAATATCAAGATATTTCTCCTCTGAGATAGAGGGAGTTAAACATTTTGAAGACAAAATAAGATGATATACAACCCTATTTTGACTTCCTACAAAGAGGCATACTAAAGTGTTTCTTGTCATTTCATGACCTAAAAATTGTGTGCATACTTTCCTCTTTTTCAAATTGCATTACTACGAGTAGAAACACTTCATTCAGTTTAGTAGCCTAGAACTTCTAATACATATTAATAAATTTAAGAGCATTCACCAGTTTTCAGTTGTAATGCAAAACATAAGCAATTGATTAATAGTTACAGAGGAGTTCTATTGTCAGAGAGCTAAAGATAATACAGTTACTAATTATACATACCATTGTTAACAAAATATTTTTGTAATTTGTGTTGCACTTTCTATTTTTTCATTTGATTTTTCACATTCATAGGGAAAAACTGGCTTAATTCCAGTGGATGTCTGATGCCAAAGAGTTCTGGTTTTGTTACAGTGGAATGAAATTCACCAATTTATTTTTCTTATTACTCGTATGATTTTTTATTATCACCATTGCTGATTTTATTTAAAAAATGTAATGTATTTGCATAATTTCACAAACTCTGTTGTTATAAGGTGACAGTACAGCTGAAATAGTGCTGTTTTCCAGCAGACAGTGCTACCATATCTATGATTTTTTATTATCACCATTGCTGATTTTATTTAAAAAATGTAATGTATTTGCATAATTTCACAAACTCTATTGTTATAAGGTGACAGTACAGCTGAAATAGTGCTGTTTTCCAGCAGACAGTGCTACCATATGATAGCTTGAAATTTCCTTTCTTTTCTTGATATATTAAAGTCCAAATCCCATTTATGAAAGCTGGTTATAGGTATCAATATGCTCTGTAAAAAAGTGAGGTGGTATGAAAATTAAATGTATGAAAGTCAAGGACTAGTTATATCTGTAGAACACCTATAAATGACTTGATCCTTGCTGTCAGGTTTATGTCGTTTGGCATTGTAGGGGAAAATTTGAGGGTTCTATTGTAAATTTTTCATTTGTATTGCTTTATACTTAATACTGTTTATGGACAGTCAGTTTTTGCTTTGCACAGTTTTTATACACATGAATTTCAATTACCACTGTATAGGTAAATAACACCAGTCCCCAACAATACAGTTCAAATTTCACTTACCTTAGGTTCACTTTCGTTAATTGAGTAATTATATAATGAACAAAACTTTGCTGCCAGCACTTCAGTTCACAAACCACTATGTAAATTACACATGTGCATCATGATCAGTGAGCAGTGATGCCACCTCTTTCAAAATCTGTCAGTGATTGCTCACTGTACATCTGTTACTCAGTTTATGCACAGACAACAAAGTATTGTTGTGCTGCCTCCTTGATTCCCAGTGAGAAATGCATGTGATATTTTATAAAAATGGATTATTGAAAGGGATTTGGTCAATAAAAATGAAAGTGCAGCAAAAAACGAAAAGCGATAGTGCTGGAAATAAAATTCAGATAGAAAATACATGGAGTTAGAAATAGTTGACTGGAGGGCTGGCCCGGTGGCGCACTGGAGAGTGCGCCGCTTGGGAGCGCGGCGGCACTCCCGCCGAGGGTTCGGATCCCATGTGGAGACCGGTTCCTGCTCACTGGCTGAGCGCGGTGCGGGCGCAACACTGAGGGTTGCGATCCCGTTACCGGTCAAAAAAAAAAAAAAAAAAAAAAAAAAATAGTTGACTGGAAATATTGACGCTACCAGTTTTTGAGACTCTAAGTATGTACTGGAGGAACTTAGTAAAAGTGAGCTTATCAGCATAAATGAGGAAAGTGGTTTTGACGAAAAGGATGAAGATGTCTCAGAGGAAGTGATACTTGCAGAAAACTTCACATTAATTAAAGGAACTCTAGGAGGTAATTGATAGAATTGAAAGTGCAAAGGATAAAATGTTGGGAGCTGATTCAAACTTATAAAGAAGCATGGTAATTGCCAAGAAAAGATGGTTGCTCAGTATCATAACTTAAGTGTTGAGCAGGAGGCAAACCCTGTTCAAACTACTCTTGATAAGTTAATTCTCAATATTTCTAATGTTTTAAATTATAGTGTACTGAATGAATACTTATTTTACTATTTTTTCATTTTCCTATACATTTATAACTGGCGGTAAGAGTTATTAATCTCTTTATCTTGTTTTTAGTTTGAGAGAGCAGGTCAGGACAAAATTTGTGTCAAAAATTTTAAAGGTCACAGGATCAATTGTAATATTTCCAGTGGACTATTAAGATTGCTTTGTGTGGTTTCAGCCTGCATTCCTGCAGGACGTAGTCCTGTACTACCATTCAGAGCAGGGACTGCCCTTAATTATTTCTTTAAATTTTGCTTCCTACATCCCATTAAGATAATTTATTTAACTCAAACCTGTAATACTATTGGAATTCTTGATTCAGAGGGGGGAAAAGTATGTTAAACAGTCTTTGGATAAAATTTTAAAAATCTGAAAATGTGGTGGTTTTCTCTATATTCTTAAACTGAGGAAGAAATAAAAATCCATGCTCTCATAATCTGGACTACTGAACTATCATAAATATAATTTAAAGAAATGTAGTTTTCTCTATATTCTTCTCAAACTGATGAAGAAATAAAAATCTGTACTGTCATAATCTGGACTATTGAACTATCATAAATATAATTTAAATGTAAAGAAATCTAAATGTGCCTAATAGTTGCCTAATACATGCCTAATAGTTACCAACTGTCTCTTATTAGAAAGTTGTATAAATGTACATTTTGAACTTGATTTTTATTAGAAAATGATTAGTAATTTAAATTATTATATAAAAATGATGTAAATATCACTTATTATACAAGTGATATAAATATGTATTCATACATTTTCAAATAATGTTGAAGTATAAAAAGTAAAAGTTTCATCTTCCAAATAAGCTTTAGAATCAGATAATCAACTTCTATTAAAAATTGTTTTTGGGGCCGGCCCGGTGGCGCACTGCTACGGTGCTCTGCTTGGGAGTGTGGCGGCGCTCCCGCCGAGGGTTCGGATCCCACATACAGACCGGTTCCCGCTCACTGGCTGAGCGAGGTGCGGGCGCAACACCGAGGTTTGCGATCCCGTTGCCGGTCCCGGTCCAGTGTGGGTGCGACACTGAGGGTTGCGATCCGTTGCCGGATACGAAAAAAGGAAAAAAAAAAAAAATTGTTTTTGGATTTTGATTAGGATAATATAGAATTTATATGTTCCCTCCTACGAAAAAAGGAAAAAAAAAAAAATTGTTTTTGGATTTTGATTAGGATAATATAGAATTTATATGTTCCCTCCTTTCTTCCCTCCCTTCCTCCCTTCCTGTCTTTCAGTAGTGTTGTTTTATAGTTTGCATCATAGAGGTCTTGAGCATTCCTTGTTAGATTGATTCTTGTGTGTTTTTTTAACTCTTGGTTGCTATTGTGAATGGTCTCCCTCATTTTATTTTTGAAATTAATTACTACTTGTGTATAGGAAAACTGCTAACGTTTCTGTGTTCTTTTATTTGGCCTCCTCAGTGAACTCTGTTTTTAGCTCTGTCAGTTTTTCAGTTCCTTTTCTTGAAATTTTTGGCTAGAAAATGACATCACCTGGAAGTTAGGATAGATTTATATTTTCTTTTCAAATATTTATATCTCTTATTTATTTTTCTTATGTCTTTGCTGTACCATGATGTTGAATAGTGGGGATGTTGGAAGGCATCGCTGTCTTGTTTCTGATTTTATTGGAAATATGTCTAATGTTTTACTCTTGGAAATAATGTTTCCTTAAAGAATTCAAGTAGGTATATTTCTGGGTTGGTCTGTAGTTTTCTCCTTGTCCTTTGGTGGGGTTTTTGATAAAGGTTCAGCTAAATTCATAGAATGAGTTGTTATCTAAGCTATCTTGGCCTACTTCAAGGTTGCAAAGATCCACCCCACCCCCACCCCCGTTTTCTGTTTTTAGCTTTTAGATTCAGGTCTAGGATCCATTTTGCATTAACTTTTATGTGTTGTGTGAGGCAAGAGTCAAGGTTTTGTTTTTTCACACATGTATATCTGATTTTGCTCACACTATTTGTTTAAAAAGCCATTCTTTCTCTACTGATTTTCAACCTTCAATGGAAATCAGTTTACCATATATGTATGGGTCTACATCTGAACTCTCTCTTCTGGTACACTGATTTTTATAGCTGTTGTTTCACAAGTACCTCTCTCTTGATTTCTGTAGCTTTAAAGTAAACTATCATATGTCCTCTAATCCCAACATTGTTTTATTTATTCTGTATCCTTTGTGTTTCCATATAAATTTTAAAATTGACTTGTCTGTTTCTGCAAAAAAAAAACCTACTGGGATATTGATTGAAATTGCATTGAATTTGTGATCAATTTTGGGAGAATTGGCATTTTAACAGTACTTAGTCTTATGACCCATGATCACGATTCTTTCTTTTTTCTTATTTAGATCTTTAATTTCTCTCAGCAGTGTATTGCAGTTTTTAGTGTTAAATTTTAAGTTCTGTTGTTTTGTTAATATTTTCCCTAAATATTTTGTATGCTATTAAATTACATATTTTTATTTATTTAAAAAAATTTATTTAGTTTTTGGTGGCTGGCTGGCATAGGCATTGAACCCTGGACCTTGGTGTTACCAGCACTGATGATATTTTTAAATCTCAGTTTTCAACTAGCAACTGTTGCTGGCTAGTTCACTATTTTATTAAATAAGTTATTCTGCTTGAAATTTTTTTCCAGTGAGCTATTATAACAATCAT